CTGTAAACCTACTTTGGCCTCACCCTGAATAGGGTTCAGTATTACCTGTGGATTCAGATATCCACTGGGAGTCTTGGGATATACTTCCTTTGGATAAGGGGACACTCTTGTACTCAAGAATATCTGTTCCATGAATTAAGGTATTACTAACTAAACAGAAGCTGTGAGGTAAGGCATCCCAGGTAGGACAAAACTAAGTGGGGAAGGGCATAATGTCTTGGAGATAGGAATATAAATGAACGGTTTAAGAAAGAAAGAAGCATGGAGATGTGAAGTAAAGCATAGGGGATGTAGTCAATAATATTGTAATATTATAATTATGTATGATGTGAGATGAGTACTAGATTTATCCAGGTTTGTTTTAAACATGTCTAGTTACTATGTTGTACACTTAAAAACTAATATATTGTATGCCAACTATAATATAACTGAAAAATAAGTATTTTAAAAATTAAGTTATTTTTTAGAATGAAAACAAAGAAGAAGAAGGGAGATGAAGTAAAGAGTAAGGACCCTTGCCAAAGCTGGTTTGGCTCAGTGGTAGAGCGTCGGTCTGCGGACTGAAAGGTCCCAGGTTCGATTCTGGTCAAGGGCATGTACATTGGTTGCGGGCACATCCCCGGTTGGGGGTGTGCAAGAGGCAGCTGGTCGATGTTTCTCTCTCATCGACGTTTCTAGGTCTCTAACTCTTTCCCTTCCTCTCTGTAAAAAATCAATAAAATATATTTAAAAAAAAAAAAAAAGAGTAAGGGCCCTGGAGTTCAGGTTAAAAGTTTTGGCTTTAATGAATAGACATCAAAGATTTTTGCAAGTACAGTGACATCTGCAAAACATGTTTTAGGAAGATAAATGATAGAGAGGTGGGTCTTGGGTCTGTCTTAAGATAAAGTAGGGGTTGGCATACAGTACACTCTTGAGTATTTGTTTAGGGAAATGAATATACATATAGGATAGCTGAAGTGGGAAAATAAGAAAAAATCATAAGGCATTAGTCCAGGTATAATATGAGAGAAGCTTGAATTAGGGTGTTGGCCTTTACAGAGGTCTGAAACTGAAAGTGGGGAAGAAGATAAGAAAATAATTCAAGGGAATAGAAGGTTTAAGGCACAGATTGAGTCAGTAAAAACAAGATATATTAAATATTCTTGAACATAGCAATATTATGTGAAACCTCTAAAGCTAATTGTATAGAATTGATTCTACCCTGGAGGGCTTTACTACAAGAAAAAATTATTTTATTTTATTTTTTTATTACTACATGCAATTTTTTTAAGTTAATTAAAAAAACACCACACACATCAAAACCGGTTTTGGCTCAGTGGATAGAGCATTGGCCTGCGGACTGAGGGGTCCCAGGTTCAATTCCGGTCAAGGGCATGTACCTTAATTGTGGGCACATCTCCAGTGGGGGGTGTGCAAGAGGCAGATGATTATGTTTCTCTCTCATTGATGTTTCTGACTATCCTTCTCTCTCTTCCTCTCTGTAAAAAAAAAATCAATAAGAAAAAAAACAAAAACACAAGGGAAACTGAAGGAAATCTTGTGAAATCACTCTCCCAGGCTTGAAATTTTGGAAACATGCTTTTCAGAGCACAAGTTCCTAAAGAGTAAACAGTCTGGTTGATAACATAGAGGAAGACTGAGCCCAGGAAGACTGATGTGGAGGTGGCAATGATAGAAGCCAGCAGGCCATCAGACAGGGTTTTACAGAGTTGGGCTTTTTACGTCTGTTTTGTTTTTTAATCTTTGTGGCATCAAATTGGTCTAGAATTAACTTTTTAAGTGTACACAGAAGTGAGCAGATCCAGGGGCACAGACGTTTTATTCTAAAAAGACAAAAAACAAACAAAGCAAGTTGCTAATTTATTTATTTATTTATTTATTTATTTATTTATTTATTTATTTATTTATTTATGAAAACATATATTTTATTGACTTTACATAGAGAGAAATTGAGAGGGATAGAGAGTTAGAAACATTGATGAGAGAGAAACATCGACCAGCCGCCTCCTGCACCCCCACTGGGGATGTGCTCACAACTAAGGTACATGCCCCGGACCAGAATCGAACTAGGGACCCTTCTATCCGCAGGCCGACGCTCTATCCACTGAGCCAAACCGGTTTCGGCGCTAATTTATTTATTTATGATCAGATATAATTGGCGAGAAAATTGCAGCAAATGGAATATCAAGTTGTAAGCAGATAGTCATTTGGTAAACAATGGATTTAGTCTAGGATACTTTGGCTATCTGGTCAGCTAAGGCTTTCTCTCTCTTCTCCCCAACTTCTCAGAAAGCTCCTAACTGTATTGGACATATAGTGATGACTTCTTACTCTCTGACTTACCTGTTTATACACCTAATACTATTACCACATTCTTTTTTTTATATATAATGTCTTTGTATAGATATTACAAATGTATATATACATATATATTATTTATTTCAGAGAGGGAGAGAGAGAGAAACATCAATGATGAGAGAGAATCATGGATTGACTGCCTCTTGCATGCCCCATACCCCACACCAGGGACTGAGCCCTGCAACAGGAGCATGTGCCCTGACCAGGAATTGAACCTCGAACCGTGACCTCCTGGTTCATAGGTTCATACTCAACCACTGAACCATGCTGGTGGGGCAGGACCTAGTTATTGAATAGCAATTCATACAAAGAAATACTATCCAACAATAAAAAATAATTAAGAGTTAATCCTAGTCTTAATATGCCTCTTAAAATATTTTTTATCAATGCTATATAGTTTTATATTTTGAAAACTCAAATTTATATAAATCTTAAACTTACAGACAAGTTTCAAATGGAGTGCAATTTTTCTCCCTGAATAAGCCATTTGAGAGTAAATTCTAACATTCTACATGTACATTCTATGAATCCACAAGGTAATCATCAAAAATAGGATTTATCATTGATACTTTATTATCATCAAATCCTCAGTTTAATTCAAGTTTAATCAAGTTCAGTGATTCCCTTTATAGCAAATGGATCTAGTCCACAATCACATGTTGCATTGTATTGTCATACCTCCTGATAGTTCTCAATTCATAAGTCATAGAAACTCTTTAATATCTTCTTCCCCACTCTCCTTTCCTTATCTCCCATTAGTGCCCTAAAGTTTCTCCCTCCATTTCTTACTCAGTACATACCTCCAGGTACCCAGCTACCCCTTTCCCATCTGCCTCTTCAGTCATTTCTCTCAATTCTGTACCACTGAAACTTGGGAGCCAGGTTGAAGACAATTGCAGGTGAGGAGGTGAAGACAAAATCCCCCTTCATTGCTGGATTAGTAGTATGAGGGCCAAGGCTGAGAATATGGAAATGTTCATGTATTTTGTTTGTGGCAATCTTTCCTGATTCTACGTCAATGGCCTTTCCACTCACGATGTTACTAAATCTCTTTAGTATATATTGACATCTTTTACATAGCTCAATTGCACTCTGCATCTCACTAAGTTTCCTGTCGGGGCCCTGGTTTATCTTGTATCCTTTAGGATTTCTTCAGTTGCAAGTTACAGAAAATTCACCTCAGGCTACCTTAAACAATAAAGGGGGTTCATTGGCTAATACAGTATTAACTAAGTGCCTGGCGACCTTATCTTCATGATAGAGCTCATTTTCCATTTTCTACAGAAGGGCTTCTCTTTACTAATCTTTTCTAGTTGGCCCAGGAAAACTGAGATTTAGCCTCTAGTCCCCATTCCACCTGTAATCTTGATTAAATCATGCCCTGTCTGCGTTCCCTGGCTGAGGCAACTTTTGACTCTAACATCCTTGGCCAGACTGGGTAAACGGTGGCTGGAAGCCAAATCTTACACACCTTCTGGTTTTGTATGGTCCCTTGAATGAGATATGGTTTGTTTGTTGTTCTTTTAATTTTTAAAAATTGATTTTAGAGAGAGTAAGAGAAAAAAGAGAGAGAGTCTGACCAGGGATCAAACCCACAACTTCAGCGTACCACAACCATGCTTTCACCAACCGAGCCCCAGGGCCCCAGCTGAAGAATAAGTTTTTTTACGTTTGCCAAATAGCTGTCGAAATTTGCAAGGACTATTTTGTAACCAGTGGCCATAAAGTGAGATTCAAACTTGTGTCCATCATATTTGCACACGGTCACGCCCATGTGTTGACCATGCTGCCCCAGAGACTTGATGGGCCCCAGCTGGCCCTTGCAAGAAAAGTGTGCAGACACCTGTTTTGGACTCGTGCCTGGACAGCTGTACCCACCGCTGGCCAAAGGTGAAGGCCTGTCTGGGCTCCCTCATTAGACCAGTGGTGGACGGTCCTCTGGGCGTGGGGCCTGGTGCAGGGTCACCTCCTACACTCCCTGCCGCGGCTGGCATCCTCGCGGGGTGGGGAGGTGGGACCAGGACGATTTCGGAGCCACGTGGTTCAAATCTCCGCGCTCCACACACCGTGGATGGCCTCCCAGGCCCTTCAGCTTCCTCCTCTGAGAAACGGCTACCAGGAGGCTGGGATGAAATAAGAGGCTGTCGGAAAGATTTGGCTCAGTGGATAGAGCGTAGGCCTGCGGACTGAAGGATCCCGGGTTCGATTCCGGTCAAGGGCATGTACTTTGGTTGTGGGCACATCCCCAGTAGGGGGTGTGCAGGAGGCAGCTGATAGATGTTTCTCTCTCATCGATATTTCTCTCTATTCCTCTCCCTTCCTCTAAAAAAATCGATAATGTATATATATATTTTTTTAAAAAAAGAATAAGAGGCGGGAAAGGTGCTGTCACCCTTCCCCTGCCTCCACGCAAACGCGGAGCAGGCACCGCGGGGCCCGAGTGGCGGGAGCGCCTGCAGCTGGACGCCCGCCCCGCGCCCCGCCCACGCGCGCGCCTGTCCATCAAAGCCGCGGGGGGCGGGGCGGGGCGGCGCTTCCGCCTGCGCGGGGCCACGCCGGGCCGCTCGGCGGCGCTCGGGACAGTCGGGAACCGCGCCCGGAGCCGCGGGCGGCGGAGCGGCCGGACGAGGGAGGCGGCGATGGAGCTGGAGCCCGAGCTCCTGCTGCAGGAGGCCCGCGAGAACGTGGAGGCGGCGCAGAGCTACCGGCGGGAGCTGGGCCAGAGGCTGCAGGGGCTGCGGGCGGCGCGGAGGCAGGTCGGAGGGCCGCGCCGGAGGGGCCGGGCCCGGGAGCCCGCGCGGTGCCCGGGGAGTGGGCAGGGCCGGGTGGGCTCCGAGGGGCGGCGGGGTCCCCGAACTCTGAGGGGAGAAGAAGGCAGGAGGCTGTGAAGGTGCAGGGAGACCTCCTGGCAGGCTCTGGGAATGGGTGCGGTGGGTGCTGGGGAGGGACTCTTAAGGGGAAGAGACAAGTTGGGGGGAATCCGGGGAGAGAGTGAGGGGGCGTTCCCTAAACTGCGTTAGGCTATGGGGTTAGGGGTGGGGTCCGAGGTGAGGGGAGAAGGAGGGACCAGAGAAAACCCTGGGACGCCACGGGGTAGTGAGGGTTCAGGAGAGCTGGGGGCGGTGGGGATTCTCGGGGAAACCTGCGGGGCGGGGGGCGCGAGCCTGAGAAAAACGTGGGTGCTGGCTTTGGGAGAGTTAAAGGTGGGGGGGCAAGATGGGTGTTGGGGAGGGAGGGTCAGAGAGAGACGGGGAAGAGATGGGGAAGCAGAAGAGTTAACACTGAAATGAATGGGATCGATGCCCGAGCATACTACTTAATATCTCATGTGATCTTGAATGCATTTAATTTTTTATAAATATATTTTATTGATTTTCCACGGAGAGGAAGGGAGAGGGATAGAGAGCTAGAAACATCGATGAGAGAGAAACATCAACCAGCTGCCTCCTGCACCCCCCTCCCCCCACCGGGGATGTGCCGGCAACCAAGGTACATGCCCTTGACCCGAATTGAACCCGGGACCCTTCAGTCCGCAGGCCGATGCTCTATCCACTGATCCAAACCGGTTTTGGCGCTTTTTTTTTTTTTTTTTTAAATGCACTTTAGAAAAATAGTTTATCGTATAACCCCATCCTAGATGGGTTAGAATTTAAGGTGAAGATGCTGTTTTGAAACGTCAAGAGAAGGAAAATGAAATGCTTGAGGGATGGAGTACAAAGGTGTAGGGGGAATGGAAAAACAGATTTAAAGAGAGGCGTGCTGAAAGGAGAAGCTAAATAAATACACTTCCAAGTGACAGCCGTTATCTGTTCCCTGTGGACATGGTTATCAGCGATAGAGGAAAGCCACATGGTTTTCCCACACCTTAGAACTCATGCAAAAAAAAAAAAAAAAAGATGTAACCTACCCCCAGTGTGTGGTAGGACAGATAATTCACAAACTACTGTTAACATAGGTGCTTAATAAAATGCTTTTTGAGTGACTGGAATCATTTGAGTGAGTGGGAATTCATTCACCATTTTGTGTGTGTGTGTGTGTGTGTATGTGTGTTTTAAATATATTTCATTGATTTTTTACAGAGAGGAAGAGAGAGGGATAGAGAGTTAGAAACATTGATGAGAGAAAATCATCAATCAACTGCCTCTTGCACACTCCCTACTGAGGATGTGCCCGCAACCAAGGTACATGCCCTTGATCGGAATCGAACCCAGGACCTTTCAGTCCGTGGGCTGATGCTTTATCCACTGTACCAAACCGGTTTCGGCTCATTCACCATTTGAATTAGTGGGATTTCATCACATTGATAATTAATCTAAATTGTCATCCTAGTACCTCCCATGCTGCATAGAATCTGAAAATTGGCAGAATAGTGCCTTTGCTTGGTCTCACCATTCAAGATACTCAGCATGCTTTAGGTTTTATATATTTTAAAATCCTTGTAGAGCTGGTGTAAGCAAGGCATCATTCATAATTTAGGAGCAAAACCTAGGATATGGCCCCGCTGGTTTGGCTCAGTGATTGAGGCTTGACTATATGAGCCAGGAGGTCATGGTTTGATTCTGGATCTGGGCACATGTCCAGGTTGCTGGTTCGATCTCCAGCAGGGGGCATGCAGGAGGCAGCCAATCAATGATTCTCTCTCCTCATTAATGTTTCTCTCTCCCTTCCTCTCTGAAATCAATAAAAATATGTATGTTTAAAAAAAAAAAAAAACAACCCTAGGATATGGTTATCTTGATTTAGTGAATGCCTTCCAGTGTGTTTGTCTTGATGACCATTTGAGAGCATCTTCATTATTCGTCCAGCTATTTTGAAGTAGAGGTTCTAAATCTAGGACATTGTTTACACAGAGATGAAAATATCTCTTATTGTGTGACTAATGTTTTCAGCCAGCTAAGATATATATAAACAGAACTATTGTTTAACTGTGTCAGCAATTAAGCAGTCGAGTTGACACTAGTAAATGAGTGAGCTTAGCACCTAGGAATAGTATTTATTAATTTCTGGTGTGATATTGAATAGATTAGAAATTGTTTTTGTATGGTCCCATCCTGAATGGTTTAGTATTCAACTTCCAAACCTCTCTTCTTTTATATTTTATATCCAACAATTTAAATACAGGACATTCTTTCCAAATCATTTAGTGTAGTTTAGTATGGGTTTTTGTTTTGTTTTGTCCGAAGGCTCATTCTCTGGGGATTGAGACAGAAAATACTAAGAACATCCATCACTGTTTGGTTTCTGATGACATTACCTTCTGATTAGACTGTAGCTCTCTTTTGTGAACTGGAATCTGTCTTGTGCCACTGCCAGTTACAACGGCGTTTCTCCTCAGAGCTAATTCTAGTGGATTGTATGTTTGGGTTTGTAGAATAAGCCCTCTGTCAACTTGCATTTTAAGGAAGGTCTGTGTTACAAAAATGTTATCAAAATAAGCAGCTGCTTTTGTTCGGTGGTTAGGATATTTTTAGAGTCCTAGTCATTTTCAGAATAACTACATAAAATATATGGCTTTTTAGTCAAAGATTTTGCATGGGGGGGGAAAAAAGGGAAGAGCAGAGAGGAAGGGATGCTCCCCTTTATGTATATTTTTTACTTGCTGATTTTATTGTTTTGGGGAATGATTTTTTTTGTAAGGGAGGTAATTCACATACCATAACATTTGTGCCTTAACATGTGTAAGTTAACAGCTTTTAGTACATAATGTGCATATATCTCTATTTTACAGAATATTTTTATCACCCCCACAAAGAAATTCCATACTCGTTAGGTGTCACTCCTCCAGCCCCTGGCAACCATTAAACTACTTTCAGTCTCTACGTGTATTTGCTTATTCTGAACATTTCGTATAAATGGAATCATACACTATGTAGCCTCTTGTGACTGACTTCTTTGACTTGTCATAATGTTTTCAAGATTCATCCATTGGGGAGCATGTATCAGTACTTCAGTTTCTTTTTACGGCTGAACAATATTCATTGTGTGGCTAACCACATTTTATTTATCCCTTTATCAGTTGATAGACAGTTGGGTTATTTTCTCCTTTTGCCTATTATGAATAAGGTTGCCAGGAGTATTCATGTGCAAGTTTTTACGTGGACATGTTTTCAGTTCTTGTAGTACGTATATACTTAGGAATGCTGAGTAGTATGGAAACTCTTTGTTTAACTTTTCCAAGACCTCTTGGCATACTTTTTATCTTTGCTTTTGTTTCTTACCCTTTAAAACTCACATGACATTTGTTTCAGGTTAAAAAAAATCATGTCTATGGAAGTCTAGAAGGAAAAGTAAAAATCTTTTAAGTTATTTTGTCAGCAACTACTGCCAGCATGTAGCAGTTTCTCCTCTTGTGGTTAAGTGTATGCCCTACCCCCTGTCTTAAGAGAAAAGGAAGTTCTGTGTAGGAATGCAAAGGGTAGTCTGTAACTTCTAACTGTTTGAATAGGTTAAAGGCTAAGGAGATGTTTGTTGTCTTCAGGAAATCAGATAATATTTACAGCTAGTCTGGCCTAACTGATGTTGAAATTATTGAGAATAGTTCTCTATAGCTCTCTGGAATCCTTGGTACTAAAATGTACATACCAAAGCAATTAACTCCCACTCTCCTTAAATACTCATTTGTTCATTCACTCAATAAATATTTATTGGGTGCCTGCTATATGCCAGAGATTCTTCTAGGTCCTAGAAACACTGTGGCTGAGGAAATAGACCACTGCCTTAATGGACTTAGTCTTTCCATTGATGGTTGGTCATGACACGACTACCCCTAAAAGCAAAACAGATAAGAAAAACCTAAATTCTTAGGTATTCATTTTTAGATTTTTACTTCCAATGTAATTTTCATCAGTTTATTTCTATAGAGTTGGCTTTCCTGCTTGTTGTAAGTGGATAGCTGATCAAGATGTTGCATAGTGATATTAGCTGGCCAGTCAGATATGCCTTCCAGAGTGACCCTATCTTTTTTTGTTGTTGTTAATCTTTACCCGAGGACATTTTTCAATTGGTCTTTAGAGAGAGTGGAAGTAAGGGAAAAGTGAGAGCAACACATCGATGAGTTGCCTCCCGCAACATGACCAGGGTACATGTTCTTGACCAGAATCAAATCCAGGACACTGAGCCAAACCGGCTAGGGTAGAACGGCATCAACTTGATGACATTGCCACTATCCAGGTCCTCATCCTCAGTTTTGCAGGCTTAGAAACGTCATCTTTGTATATTATCAAAGGGGGATTAAGCTTGAGGGGCTGGCAGTGCCTACAGTGAGAAATACCAATATTCTAGTATGTGTACAGTTATATTTCACTCTATAAAATGAATGTGCTGGCCTTCATGTGTCTTTTAATGGGTATGAGTCAGTGCCGCTCAGGGCACTGACAAAAAGAAGTCTCTGCTCTTTCAGAGTAAAGGGCCAGATCCTGGTACCTAAATAAGAGATTATTTGGTGAGGGCCCTGCTCAACTCTGGCCAGTGGGATCCCTTTGATTCTTCCTACTACAAGGATCCATGACCATAGCCGTGGCATCATCATGACCCGAGAGCTTGTGAAGAATGCAGGAATCAGGCCCCACCCAGACCTACTGGATCATACTCTGTACTTTAACAAGATTGCCAGGTATGATATGTATGCACATTAAAACTTGAGGCACACTGCCTTAGAGTATTTTATTACTATTTCATCAGCTCTCTGCTGATTTCTGTAGTTTAATTAAACCCCAGCTGTGTAGTCATAAATTGCTGTGGTTTATCCTCAAGAGAA